GTAGAATTGGTGTTAATTCTTCTTTAAACGTTTGGTAGAATTCTCCAGTGAAACTATTTGGGCCTGGACGTTTCTTTTTTGGAAATTTTTAAATTAAATGTCCTTAATGCTTGAAATGCTATTAATATTATCTATTTCATATTGGGAGCCCTGGTGATGCAGTGGTTAAGAGCTCAGCTGCTGGGTGTTGTTGGGTAAGTTGTGGTAATTTGTGTTTTTTGAGGAATTGGTCCATTTTATCTAAGTTTCACAACAATTTATGTGAGTAGGATTATTTGTAGTATTCCCTTACTATCCTTTGATATCTGTAGGGTCTGTAGTGATAGCCTCTGTTTTATTCCTGATATTGGTAATTTGTATCTTCTCTCTTTGTTTCTTTCACAGTCTTGCTAGTGGTTTGTCAATTTTATTGATGCTTTCAAAGAACTAGCTTTTTGTGTCAGTTGATTTAGTCTACTGTTTTTTTGTTTTCAATTTCATTGATTTCTGCTATCTTTATTATTTCCTTTCTTCTGCTTGCTTTTGGTTTATTTTGCTGTTTTTTTTTTCCTCTAGATTCTTAGGTTATTGATTTGAGACTTTTCCTGTTTTCTAATATATGCATTTAGTGTTATAAATTTTCCTCACAGTGTTTCTTACCTATGGCCCACCAATTTCAGTATGTTGTATTTTTGTTTTCATTCAGTTCAATGTATTTTTTTAATTTTCTTTGAGACTTCTTCTTTGACTAGTAGGTTATTCACAAGTGTGTTGTTTAGTTCCCAAGTGTTTGGAGATTTCCCTGTTATATGTCTGCTGTTGATTTCTAGTTTGATTCCATTGTACTTGGAGACCACACTGTATATGGTTTAATTTCTTTTAAATTTGTTGAGATTTCTTTCATGGCCCAGAAGGATATGGTTTATATTGGTATATCAGGGGCAGATTATCCAATAGGCAAGGTAAGCATAGTGCTTACCTTGCTTACCAGATCATCTGTAGTGAACAATTTCACATTTTTTCTCCATATCAAAGATTCTGCTTCTAGGTGTAGCTGACTTCTGTCTCTCTCCCAACCCTACAATACCTGCCAACAGACTCAAAGCCTCATTTTAAATTTATAATCCCTGATGGGGCGGATGACCCAGTAAGCAAGGTAAGCATGGGCTTTCTTGTGCTTACTTACTAATCTGTAGTGAATAATTTCACATGGGTTTCACCACATCTTTGATTAACCCATGTGAAATTTTCACTACAGATGATCTGGTAAGCAAGGTAAGCACTGTGCTTACCTTGCTTATTGGATAATCCATCCCTGTTATGTTCTGAGGGAACTTGAAAAGAATGTATATTCTGCTGTTGTTGGGTGGAGTGTCCTATAGTTGTTGATTATGTCCGGTTGGTTGATGATGGTGTTGATCTCTGTATCCTTGCTGATTTTCTGCCTAGTTGGTTTTATTAGTTGTTGAGAGAACTTACCACCATGTCATTTTTTGGGTCCTGAGGCTCCTAACCAGCGTGCCTTTTTCTTTCCACCTTTCAGAGTCTTCTTATGTTTATTTTATATGTAATACCCAAGGTTTTTAGTTGTAATTAGCAGGAGGAATAGGAAAAAGTACATCTACTCCATCTTTCTAGAAGCAGAAATGGTGCTTATATTTTTAAACAGTTTCCCCCAGTAATTGTAATGCATTCAGACTGTGGACCTACATTTGCAAACTAATGCTTTAGAACAACTAATAATGATGATCAATTCATTCATTTGGCATTTTATGATTACTAGAATTTCGATAGTATATAATCTCATTTATTCCTAAAAGGAATTCTCCAAAGTAAGAACTAGTATCTTAATTTTACTGATAAGTAGAAAGGCCTAGACAGATGGCTTGCCTAGGATCATACAGCTGATGAGGGACAGAGCTGGGACTTGAATTTCTCACTCCTAGTCCAGTGCCTTGCTCATTAAACCACAGCTACCTCCTGTGTTATTGAAGATGTTATTCTCACCTTTTCTCATCTGTGTTAAGTCACAAAGCAATTTAAATCACTCAATTTCTTTTAGAGTCTGGCATCTGAGTTAGAACCCTCTGTGAAAAGAGCTGCTAATAAGCCAGAGCAGGAAACACCTGCAGTCACATCTGGAGCAGCTTGTTAACTCCAGCACTACAACTTCGTCTGATAATGTAGTGGCCCCAAAATTTTGTTGCACATTAGAATCACCTAGAGAGCTTTTAGAAATCTCTATGCCCAAGTTGTACCCCATACCAATTAAATCAGACTGTCTAGGGTTGGGAGCTCAGCGTTGGTATTTTTTAGAACCCTCCAGGTGATTTCAATGTGCAACAAAATTGGGAACCACTATTCCAGTGTGTTAAAGGATGTACACAACTAACATTGCAGCTGCAAGAGCTTAGAGAGGTTTTTATTCTGTTAACAGCTGCAGTTCTGTTGTTTGTTCCCCTTTGGGTCCCAATTATAGTATCCCATAAGACCAAAGACAGATTTTCTCTTCCTCATTCCTCAAAACTACAACTGTGTTCTCTTCTCTCCTTTGACCCTAAGCCAGAAGTTGGCAAACTCTTTCTATAAAGGGCCAGAAAATAAATATTTTAGGCTTTGCAGGTCATACAGTCTTATGTGACAACTACTTAATTCTGCTGCTGAACCACAGACAAAATGAACGGACATGGCTGTGTTCCAATAAAACTTTATTTACAAAAACAGGGTTTTGACTTAAGGGCTGAAGTTTTAACAGCCCCTGTCACAAGCATTTAAATGTCCCACTTGTGAAGCATTTAAGTCCAGAAATAGTTACAGGACAGAAGCCAACTTCTGGCTCCACAGCCCAGCCTGGCTACATCCCTGAGTTGTCTTAGAGAATTCAGGGTGACATTTCTTGAGCACAAGGGCCGGGACTTGCTTAACCTCTGGGCCTCATCAGCTGTGACTCCTCCATCTGTAGGTGTCCTGTGTGAGAAGGGATCGGTCGAGCACAGGCAGAGCTATACTCAGTTGAATCACTTGAATCCATGCACACACAAAATAAGGCCTCTCTATGTTTAGAAGTGACTAAAACGTGTATCCAACTCCTCTCCCTAGCTTGTTTGGCATTACTATTGACTCTAGAACTGTACTGTTCAATATGATACCTTTAGCCACATTGGCTATTTAAGTTTATAGTTAATTGTTGTTGTTGTTAGTTGCCGTTGAGTCAGTTCTAACTCATGGTGACCCCGAGTGTGCAGAGTAGGACTGCTCCGTAGGGTTTTCAAGGCTGTGACCTTTTGGACGCAGATCACCAGGCCTGTCTTCCGAGGCACCTCGGGTGTGTTTGAACCACCAACCTTCTGACCAGTAGTCAATTGCTTAACCGTTTACACCACCCGTGGACGCCAAAATTAATCAGTTAAATAAAATTTTAAATTCTCTTTTTCAGTTGCACTAGCCACATTTCAGTAGCCAGGTATTAGCACAGATAAAGAGCATTTCAGTCAATGCAGAAAGTTCTTTTGGACCGTGCTGCTCTAGAGTTTGTAAATCATAAATCTGCAACAGCTGTAACTTTGGAATTTTTGAAATCAGTATTTTGTTACTTGATCTTTTGATAAAGCAGTTATATCTCTCTAAGAAGTCCTGTTTACCCATTTAGCCAAAACTCATTTTTTATTTATTTAAAGTAAATATAATGCGCTGTTTTATTTTACAGAAAAAGGAAATGAGTTTTATAGTATCAAAAAAGGGACTTAGTAAGAACTACTGGTTATATTCGTTGTAAACGTTATCATGGGAAGTTATAAAATTACCTTATATAAAGATTTTATAACAGTAGTGTGGACAGTGAAAATTATATTTATTGAGTAATTTCTTTGTGCTAGGCTGAGTGCTTTGCAGTGAAGCTCAGGAAAGTCAATAGCTTAAGTAAGTGGCCAGGGCTGGGATTGGAGCCCAAGCCTGTGTGATGACTTCAAGACATTGCTGTTCCTATTACTCTGTGTTGCTTCAAGCTTACTGGAGACTATTCATGTAGCTAGTTTACATGTTTTATCTCAAGAAGTTCTAACTCCCTAGAGATGTTTTATCACTATACTATGTTAATTTAAATGAGAAAAGTACCAATCTTCCGTACAGTAAGAAGTCTAACGTAGGCTTTTTTCCATGTGGGAGAAGAGGAAAAATACCAGCGATCCTATCCTAGTTTGGCACACCAGTCTAATAGGATTTATATTATTTAGAAATACTGAGATTTCATTGATAACATTACTGTTATGACAACAGATTATCAATAAGATGACTAATAATAATGATAGGGTTGTTTGAAGGTTATTTTTACAAGACATGACAACTAATTCTGATTTAGAGAATTACAAGACCCCTCTTTTCAAATTACACTTCCAAAAGTAGACTTATGTTACCAGAGAACAGAGCAAGTTAGTTAGCAATTAGAAATATTCACACAATCTTCATTTTTCACAGGAAAACAAGATTAATCATCTTGTGAATGTTTTCAATTTAACCAATTATTGAACAAGATTCTTTGTATTAAATAATGACATAGAAAAAATTTCTCTTGTAGCTACAGGTCAGAGGGGACATCATCTCCATCTCTTTTCAAGACTCCTTTTGTTAATTGTGAAAACTCTTATTTTTATGCCAAAAAAACAAAACACAAAAAACAAAACCAATTGCCATGGAGTCAGTCCAGGATCTGAAATTTCATTTGTTTGAATTAAGAACACAAAGCAGGCCTGCAGAACTCAATTTTACTGGCAAGAGTGGAGAAAGAGATAAATAGGATTTTATTCAGTAACAGTGAAGTACTGTTATATTGTATCTAACAGTCTTCCACATCTACATTACGCATTTCCTTTTACTATTTGAAGAATAAGTTTATAACCCAATTCCGCAATTAATTTTAAACTATTAAAGTGTATTGTGGTTGTAATAGAAAAGACAAGCTCTAGAATGGACTCATAATATTCTCTTTAAAGTTTGACACTGTTGGTGCTCATCTTTGTGTGCAGGAGGCAGATGCCAACCCCTTACTGTGACGTACTCAGAAGTAGCCCATTGCAGTTAACTTGCAGACAGGACCAGAGAGCAGTTGCAGTGTGTAACTTACAGAAGTTTCCGAAACCTTTACCGCGAGAATACCAGGTAACACTTGTTCAGGGCACAATTTTTTTTTTTTTGTACCTTAGATTAAGGTTTACAGAGCAGATAGTTTCTCATTAAACAGTACACATATTGCCCTATGACAATGGTTAACAACCCCACAATATGTCAACACTGTCCCTTCTCAACCTTGGGTTCCCTATCGCCAGCTTTCCTGTCCCCTCCTGCCTTCTAGTCCTTGTCCCTGGACTGCTGTGCCTCATTAGTCCCATTTTGTTTTATGGGGCTGTCCAGTTCCCGGCTGAACGGTGAACCTCGGAAGTGACTTCACCACTGAGCTAAAAGGGTGTCCGGGGGCCATACTCTCGGGGTTTCTCCAGTCTGTCAGGCCAGTAAATCTGGTCTTTTTTTTTGTGAGTTAGAATTTTGTTCTACATCCTTCTCCAGCTCTGTCCAGGACCCTCTGTTGTGATCCCGGTCAGAGCAGTCCGTGGTGGTAGCCGGGCACCATCTAGCTGTACTGGACTCAGTCTGGTGGTGGCCATGGTAGCTGTGGTCCATTGTCCTTCAGACTAATCTTTTCCTTGTATCCTGTTCTCTTCATTCTCCCTTGCTGCAGAAGGGGTGAGACCAGTGGAGTATCTTAGATGGCCGCTCACAGGCTTTTAAGACCCCAGATGCTACTCACCAAGGTAGAATGTAGAACATAGTCTTTATAAACTGTGTTATGCTAATTGAGCTAGATGTTCCCCGAGACCATGGTCCCCACAGTAGGGTACAATTTTATTTTTATTTTTTTATTACGGTTTAAAATAATATTTTATTGTATTTCTGATGGCACTGTACACAGCAAAACAGGTTCCCACTCAACAATTTCTACACATGTTGTTCAGGGATATCGGTTACGTTCTTCACATTGGATCAACATTCTTATTATTTCCGTTGTTATTCTTTTCTATTATCGGAATCTCAGAGTACTTCAATCTTCTCTCATCTATTGCTTTAGAGCATTTGTTGACCATTTGGTCTCATATAGATGTTTTTTTTTAAAAGAATAGGGCACAATTTTAGAAATCAACTTTTTAAAAAATATTCTTTACTTTGATTTAGAAGAGTGAATTCTCTTAAGTTTAAGGCCCCATCTGTTTTCCAGTTAGAAAAAAAAGAAAGAATTCTCAATTGCTTCGTAACTGATACGTGCTTAAGATAGCAGTTAGTTAATATTTAGCAATGAATGACTTGTAGTAATGGCAAGTGGTATTTAGAATACTTGTTGTTGACCTATTTTTAAACTGTTTCCATTTTCTTATTGTTTCCAAAGTCTTCATCTTCAAATTCCTCTAATTTACACAGGAAACAAGGTTCTTCAAAGAAAATAATTTAGATATGCTAATCCAATCAATTTAGAAGGTTTGGCAGTTCTGCTTTGGAAAAGGTTTGACCCATGGGATCTAAAAGATGAAAGAAATGGTCCCAAATGTTCAGTCTGAATCTTTAAGTTCTTGTTGCCATGGGTATCTCTAAAATGCCTGCCATTCACTAAGGACCCTTTTTAGTTAGAAATGATATCTCAGAAGCTAATTTAAAATGGTAACTGCTGAATTTTGAACTTCCTACATATATTTATGATCATGCTGAGTGTTTCAGACACACTAAGATGGCCACTGTATTTCTAACATAGTGATATAAACTCATTAAGTTGGTTTAAAGAGTAAAATCTGTAAAATTTATCAGGTACCTTGTTCTTTTGGTGTTCTGAGTGTTTTTATTTATGTGATCTCATTTATTTTCTCAGATTTTTATTTTTTCAAGTTTGTCAAAACAACATATAAATTAAGTCTTCTAAAACACTTGAAGTACTTTATGTTCAGAATATCTTAATTCTGTGCATTAATTTTGTGTTTTGTGACCTCTTAAAGCTCTTCCTTTGACCAAGTGTTAATTCTGTTTCATCCTTTTAAAACATGAGTCAAATTTGTGATCTTAATAAATAACTTAGACAAATTTACTTATCTTGCTTATTTCTAAAACTGAAGCAACCTCAAAACATCCCTTAGATAATATGTTACTGTCTTCTTTGTGTTGTACTGTATATGAAGAAAAGTACATTAATATCTTGTACCATATTAGAGGGTTGCTATAAACTGCCTGAGGACTTTGTTTTGAATATATGGAATGTTTCTTACTCCCCTGTCTTTCCAATATTTTTTTTTTTTATAGTATTTTGATGAACTCAGTGGAATACCTGCAAAAGATTTGCCTTATTATGGTGGTTCCGTAGAAATTGCTGACTACTGCCCTTTCAGTCAAGAATTCAGTTGGCATTTAAGTGGTGAATATCAGCGTAGCTCAGATTGTAGAATATTGGAAAATCAACCAGGTTAGTCCTCTATTTACATATTAAAATTACAATATCAGCAATATAAAATAGTAGTTAAGGGCCCCGGAGCCAGACTGAGTTTGTATTGTAGTTCCACTGCTTTCTATCTGTGAAAGATTACTTAACTTTTCTGTGCCTCAGTTTCCTCATCTGTAAAATGGGGATAATTCTTATCCATAGAGTTGTTGTAAGAATTAAATGAATGAATATAGTAAATGCTTAGAATTGTGCCCAACACACAGAAAAGTTGTTAGCTGTTCGATTCACGTATGTGTGTGCACACACTATGTTTAGTAATAACGTTACGTATGCATCGCACTTTTCGCTTGCAGAGCACGTTCATGTTCATCATTTCATTTTATTCTTCTAAAAACTTTATGAAGGACACGTTACCGTATTTCACAGAAGAGCGAAGAGGCACTAAGTGATAACTGGTGTGAGAGTAGGATCCTCCAATGTAGGGTTTTTTATTAAAACACATTAGATGCCCACTTTGTCTTCTCCTGGAAAGTATGCATTTTATATTATTTAGAAAGAACATGTTACTCTTCAGATATCAAAAAGATACTGTTGTCCCATAGCCAGTAAGATATATTGCCTTACTGTTTATTCTCTTTTAATGTGTATAAATAGATCATCAAGGGAACAGGAGTGTGGCAGTTGGGTATTCAGAGATAATAGTTCTAATTCATATGAACCACCTATGTAAACAAATGTTCTCATGTCCAATATGTTAGTGAAGATCGTTAAGTAGTCTCTTTGTAATCATCAAAATTTCATAACCTGGTCTTTTTATTTTCCTTATTCCAAACTTTATTACAGACCCAAATCATTTAATTTTTAAATTTCTATAATGTGTTTACCTTTTATTCTTAAATCTAGAAGATTTCAATGGATTTGTGCTGTCATTTTTCATTGCTCACCCATTAATAAACATCTTGAAGTCTTATGACTATTCAGCTGTTCCATATTAAAGCAAAAGAAGTGTACGGATCTGTCAATTTTGGATTAGCCAATGATTCAGGCTCACATTTTATTGTTCTAGAGCTGGAGCCAGCAAACGTTTTCTATAAAGGGTCAGATAGTAAATATTTTAGGCTTTATGGAGCATAAGGTCCGCTGTTGTGTGAAGGCAGCCATAGGCAAAATACGAATGAATGGATGTGGCTACGTTCGATAAAACTCCTTACAAAAACAGGTGGCAGGCAGGATTTGGCCTGAGGGTTATAGTTTGCTGGCCCTGGTGGCACAGTGGTTAAGAGCTATGGCAGCTAACCAAAAGGTCAGCAGTTCGAATCCACCAACCACTCCTTGGAAACGCTGTGGGGCAGTTCTGCTCTGCCCTATAGGGTCGCTATGAGTCGGAATCGACTCAATGGCAGTGTGTTTGGTTTTTTGGGGTTTATTTTAGAGATTGATCACTATGTTATTTGAGGACCTTGAAATATGCTTAAATAAGAGAAATACAGAGTTCTACTTTATTGTTTTTTTAATTTTTTTCTTAGCTATAAATTAACATTTTTCAAAAATGATATAAAATAATTACCTTTACAACATTTTTCAATGGGCTAATTGAATACTTTCAAAAGATGAAATTTAACTGTAGTAAAAGTGTAAAAGGAACACATTATTGTTAGGGATTAAGAGCTCCATCCCTCTGTTCATTAGGGATTTAGAGTTCATTTATTCCACCCCATACCTCTGCAGGTTTGTGCTTAGTCTGAGACTAGATCAGCATGTTCTTTGTGGACGTCCAGGAGGTGACCCAAGTTGAAGATTCCCGTAAAGTTTTGCAAAGGATGCAGCGCTCCAAAACAGCCCTCATCATGTAGATCGTTTGGCCTGGTCCTATCATGGGTCCCTTGAGAGGCGATTCCTATTAGGCCATCACTGAGGGTTATTCTTCTGGTATCTAGGTACCTAGTGATTCTTAGTGCCAGTTCCTCTGTGTATCTAACCTAGATACTTTGGGTTTGATAGAGTAATTTCCTCCCAGTAATTCCTTAATTGAAAACCCTGTTTGAGTTTGGAGCCCCATGTCTCTCTTGATTTTTTTTTAATTGAAAATTTTTATTACACATGTTTGATTTTTAAAGCAATTTTAAATCATAACAATAGAATGTTTCAATTACCAAAAGTCAGTTTTTAAAAAAAGACTTTTCTGGTTTGCTTCAGACCTTTTTAAAAATTATGGTGCTGAAAAGTATGGACCGCATTCAGTTTGTTTAATTCAGAAATCAGCATTTGTCATGGAAAAGTGTGAAAGGAAGCTGAGTTACCCAGACTGGGGGAGTGGATGTTATCAGGTAAAGTATATGATTGTTAATAATTATACCAAATATTGTATAATTTCATATTGTCATACAGTGGTTATATTTTAATATATATTTTTATATAGTTAAATTAGTTTATTAATGTTTTAACTTATCTTGTTTATTTATATAAATATTAGTTTGGATGCTTGTGTTTTCTGAAAACATTGTTATTTCTTTCAGAGAAATTACCTGTCTCCTTCTGTTTAAAAAATATATAATTGCTGTATATCAGTAAGTTTCGTAATAATTTTACTTCTGGGCATATATCCTAAGGAAATAATAGTAAATAAGTAATTTCGTTCTTGAATGAATATTACTTATAATATAAAAAACCTATAATTTTATTTTAAAAGGACTGAGGAAAGCATGGATTTTAAGAATTAATAAGTCAAGTACTGATTAATAATAGATGTTTTCTTTGAAATTAGAAATCCAAAAGGGAGGAGGCTACTATTTTGTTAATTATTTTATTTGCGTATCTGATATTAAATGACCACCATCACCTTATTAAGAACTTATTAAGGTATGGGCATTCTGTAACTTTGGAGCATCCAACTTAATGACTGTTCCATACCCTACCAGTGTGTGTTCAGGAGGAGAGTGTGTTCCTAAGAACTGAAAAATAGGAAGAACCCTTTGTCATTTTAGCCACAGAGCTAAATAGACTTCTGTAGCTGGGAACCTGTCTTAGTCTGGCTTCTCTAGAGGAGCAAAACCACTGAAACATAAATATAGAGAGAGTTACTTCACGGAAATGGCTCACGCAATTGTTGGGACTGGCAAGTCTCAAATCCATGGGTCTGGTGGCAGGCTGGGGACCCCTGCTGCCTCACGGGGTTTTAGGGACTGGCAAATCCAAGATCTGCAGGTCAGGTGACAGGCTGGAGACTTCTGAAGGCTTATGTCCCGAGAACCAGAGGTCAGGTGACGGATGAGAAGAGTACAGGGTCAAGAGAGATTGAGCTTTGCCAGAACCTCCATGTATATACTGGAGACAGACCACACTCCCAAGGAAACACCCCTTTCAACTTATTGGCTGCTCACATCAGATCACAAAATGGAAGATGATTACATTATGGAAGACCACCTGCCAAACCACTGAGAATCATAGCCTAGCCAAGTTGATATATAATATTAACCATCACAGAACTTAACTATTATTTTTAAAGTTACTTATAAAATTAACTTTATTGTAACAGCTTTATTGAGATATAATTCACACACCATACAATTCATATAAAATTTTTAACCTTGTTAATGACAATTAAAAATAAACTTTTTTCAGCAGTAATTTAGTGACTGTAATCCAGCAACCACTTTTTGATCATTAAGTTCCATTAAAGATGTATGATTGATTAAATACATAGTTTTGATCTAGTTGTAATCATAATATTTAATTTTGTTTTACTGCCTCATTTAGTACTTTTTATAGGGAGCGAAACAGCTTTTCCCAAGTTCTCCTAATAATAATGTTTGCTATTCCTCATGACTGTAGAGCATTCCATCATTTTAATGTATCATAATTAGGGAAATTACTATTATATATTAATTTTTACATGTAACTATATAAAAATGGTTTTACAAGTATATTTACATATTTTGCATTTTTTAACATTTATTTTTGAAATAGATTCCCATAAGTGAGAGTATTAGGTTAAAGTAAAGTGAAGAATAGTAGGTTAAACGCTAATGGGAGGATGACATTTTCAGGCTGTTTTACTGTTCTGCTGACCTGCGACCACAGAGCCTTGTCCACGTGTGTAATACTGTCAGCAGAGACTGAGTGTGCTTGCTTTCCCTGTGCCTAGTGTCGTCAGCTAATTGTTTTAGTTTAATACTAACCGCCGTTTACATGGGAAAATGTGCTTGATTTCTAACAATTAACGTATGGATTAGGTTTTTTTCTTCCCCCCTCATTTTAACAAAAAGCTTGCAAGAATGGTTCAAAAATCTTTTTTTTGACTCAGGCTTAATTTTAAGTGTAACTTACTGACATGCTGCCGCTTTACCCCCAAATACTATTTCTTCCAGGGACATTCTCCTACATAACCACAATGCTCCCAATAAAAAGATCAAGAAATTAACATTGTTCCATCTAAACCTCAGACCCCATTCAGGTTTTACCAGTTATCCCAATAATGTCCTTTTCATAATAGGATCCAGCCTAATATCAGATGTATTTAGTTGTCACGTCTCTGATCCCCTTCAATCTGGAATAGTTCCTCGGTCTGTTCTTGATTTCCATAACCTTTTAAAGATTACAGGCCAGTTCTTTTCCAGAATGTCTCTCAGTTTTGGTTTGTCTTATGTTTCCTCATGATTAAATTCAGATATTGCATCTCTGGCAGGTATATCACATAAGTGATGTTTGTGTTGTTCTGTTGGTACACGCTGTTGATTTGCCTTATTTTGGCCATGTTAGCTTGTTGGTATCTGCCAGGCTTCTCCACTGTCAAGTTATTTTTTGTTCCCTCTGGAATTAATATGTATTTTGTGGGGAGGAACTATGTTAATATCTCATTTCTTATACTTTGTGTTGACCCATAGAATACATTTTATTCTATGGATATTATCATTATTATCATCACTTATTTTGATGTTCAGATTACCCCAGCTTTAGCCAGGGAGAGCCCCGTCTAGCTGGGTCCTGTGTTCTCTTGATAAGTCCCGTCATTCTTTGAATGTTTCCTTGCTTTCTGGCCCAAGATATTCTAGGCCCATCTTGTACTTTTTCTGTCCCCAAGAAGCTCCAGTTTCAGAGTATGGCTCTCTAAGAGCTGTATGTGCTACTCATTGCTATTGGGGTATAGCTGCTCCCAGACAGTCTCCATGGATAGAGGTAGGAAATATATGTATGTATATAGTATATATATATGCACTCATATGTGTACATCTATATTTATATATATTTAAATATATGTGTGTCTATGTGCACTTGTGTATGTATATATATGTGCACATGTATTACACATCTTTAAAAACCTGCAACCCCCAGTATTGCTGCTCCAACATTATTTGCTTCTTCCCAGAGGCATCATGTTCCATTCTTAGCTGACTGGTTTTTTTTTTTAGTATTTGTCTTCTTGTTTATAAAAAGCTTATATTATTCCTTTATAATATTTCAATTTTAGGCAATGTCTATTGACTTTAGAAGATGAAGATTTAGCCTTTTCACCTGCTCTTCCCACCCCACCCTCTTCTTGTTTCTGCATCCTCCCAATGGTAATTTTAGATAGATACGTATTCACTATTTGTATTACTATGGCTATGTAAATTCTTAGCCATGTAGTATATAATGATTACTTATCAAAGTTCTCTCCAACATTTTGTTTTCCCTGGATTTAATAATTACTATCTTGTTTATTCATTTGCTTAGTTTTCTGTGAACTTAACACTAATTTAATTGCGAATTCTGCTCCCACTAGGGCTTGTCTCCTCTCAATACAGTCAGATACTGTGGGAATTCTATTAATTTCATCTTGAGAAAATCTTTTCTGGAAATTTCTGACCTGCACGTATCTGGGCTAGATTCCCTGTAGACTTGCAACACAGCTGTCATGTTAGGATCTCTAGTTATGATCATCCTGGAGACTTTCTTTGCCTCTCTTGTATTGGATTCTCTATTTTGTTGATCCTGTGTCATTTTCTTTCTTGGTTTCTTTTTTCATTTTAGTAAAACATGCTTCTAGTGGCCTTTTGAGAAAGAGTATTTAGGAGAAAAAAAATTGGAGACCTCGCATGTCTGAAAGCATAACTATTCTACTATTATACTTGATGATAGTTGGACTAGGTATAATTTTCGTTTTGAAAATCATTTTCGATCAGAATTCTGAAGGCAATTTTCCTTTATAATCCAATGTCATTCTTATTTTTTATTGTTTGTATGTAATTTTTTTTCGTTCCCTCTCTGGAAGCTAGTAAATTCTTTTTCTGTCCTCTCTCCAGTATTTCAGTATTCTGAAATTTAATGAGTTGTATGTATTTTTGGTGATCTTTAAGAGCCTTCTTATATTGAAGAATTGACTGAAAGCCAGTTGGAAGCTCTCAGCATGCACATAAGGCCTGTTGACTACAGTCTTCACTGTAGGGCTGTTTCCTTGTAAAACCTTTGATATCTGTATCTTTAGGGTTTTTTTTTCTCTCTTGGGTTTGTCAGATTCCTCAGAGGAAACTTCTAATATTCTACCTTGAGCTTGTATGCATAGTTGTCAGTGTTATAGGAACTGAGTGGGTTTTGAATGCCAAAGGGTCTTAATATTTAATATGTAAACTTTTATTTAAAGTCCTTTTTTTTTCAGAATGCCATCTCAACCTTCACCTTACTTGGTGTTTCCTAGAACAGAGTCATCTCCAGAAAATAAATTTCCAGTGTTCTGGGTTAGGAAGGAACAGTGACCCAGCTGCTTGTAGAGATGGAGGGGGAATCTAGGGGTCTGTTTCTTAAGTAGACACTAATATAATCCTTCTAATTATACCCTTTATTTCCTGGTTACTGGTGCCAGCAATTCCTGGGCCTTCCTTGTGTTCTGCAGTGTAAATCAAGTTGCTTCTTGGCTTTCCTTGCTGCTAGATTTTGATTCAGCTTTCTTGGGTATATTAAGCCTGCTACAACTTATACATTTACCCTACCTATCCACACTTAATTCCCAATAGGAATACTTAAACTTCATTAAGAAAGGCTTCCTCTTGTCCTACCAGCACATTCAGATAATTCTCATCTCTAAGCCATGCACATTCTATTTCCCAACCTGTATCATCTTCCTCAGTGTATTCCAAATCTTGTGCACATCTTTAGAATATAAGTGCTATTTCTTCCATGAAACTTTCCTGTTTGATCTCTTTTCACTCTTGTTGCAACGATTTATTGACTCTTAGTCATAAAACAGTCTAATACTGTTAATTTTGGGGGAGGGGGGCCGGAATATATGTGTATCCCACCCCTCTCACCTCAACTAAATATGCTAGAGGGCAGGCATTGTTCATGGACTTCTTTGGTATTATTTTCAGCACCAAGAACAGTGCTCAATCAATTCTTACTTAAAAGAATCATTACACTGCACTGTACCTATGGTAACACTTGACAGATGTGGGTCTTGATTGTGGAATTATATGAGGTCATACTTCGTTGTAGTTTTTCTTGCTAGCTGTTATAACTTAAATTTCCAAATGAGTATTGTATTTCAACTTAACTGATAAGAGTTATTTCAGAAGTGACTGTATTCAAATATACTTTGGTCTCTTCTTTTGAAATTGCCATTAGAAATAGTTAAATAGCCATCCAAGAAAATCAGTCTTAGTATTTTGCATCACACCTATATTAACCTGTGTTAACCAGTGTCTTAGTTTTCTAGTGCTGCTATAACAGAAATACCACAAGTGAGTGGCTTTAATGAACAGAAATTTATTTTTTCATAGTTTAGGAGACCAGAAGTCTGAATTCAGGGTCCTGGCTCTAAGGGAACACTCTCTGTCTCTCTCTTAAGTTCTGAGAGAAGGTCCTTTTCTCTTTTCAGCTTCTGGTCCTCAGTTCCGTGGCTCTCTTCATGTGGCATGGCATCTGTCTTCCTTCATCTGTGCTTGCTCTCTCTTCTGTGCCTGATGTGCAACAGCTGTACAACCAGTTTAGGCATCTCTCTTTACTGGACTTCCTTCTGGGCAACTTTGGACTATTTCCAAAAATTTAATCTACTTGGAAAAGCTAAAAATATGCCCCCATCAGACATATTCAGAAGCATGCACTGGTTTTGAAGGTGGTGCCAGGAGAGAAGTTCAGAAATATTTAAAGTGAACATAGCATAATTGAAATTAGTTTTAAATCTTTGTAGAAAACAACTTTGAAAAA